CTCTCCATAGACCAGAAAGCCCACACTAAAGCATCGCACACCGAGCAAGCCAGTATTTCCAACACGAACTTCTCAGAGTGCATGTCTTGAGGCATCCTGACCCGTTAACCTCTACGCCACAGAGCCACGAGTGCCCATGGATCAGAGGACAGATGTGACTTTCAAGAAAGGCCAGGCATTTTCCAACATCACATTCTGTGGCCGTTAGTCGATGAAATTATATTTGCTGTAGCAATCGACTACGTTACTAATTCGTTGTCTATAGGTGACCCAATGACACTCATGACAGTATGGCGTAATGGGTAACGTGTCGAGATTATGCGCTGTTCTGTCATGGTTCGAGTCCCGCTGAGGGTGCTGAGACCGATATGAAGACTACAGTCTACTCTTGCTTGGATGAGAATACCATTTTTGAAGCAAGGCTATGTGCAATTGAATGGAAACGTAAAGCCTACTCATAGGATCATGAAAAAATGCATTCACCAGTCCCGTTATTACCTTAAACAAAATATTAAATATATTAACTGTTCTGCACCAAAGAAGCCTAATCCTGTACATCCGATCTTTATAACCTACTACATAATATATCTTATATTAGCTCTTCTCTATTGCCTTTAAGACGATACAATAAAAAAAATCCTCAACCAGCTTTAGAAATTTCTGATTGTGAGCTAATTGTATATGCATTACGTTCAGTAGACAGAAATGTTTACTTTTGGAAACCTTCAGACATTCGTTTAAGAGCATCGTGAATTTATTTGAAAGTATACAATAAATTCTTATTGACAAAGATTTATATGAAGCTGTCTTGTTTGTAATTTACCTAGCAAAGAGAGATGAAAGCCTGGTGTGACTTCCGTTTCTGATTGATCAATGAATGTCTCAATCGTGAATTTTCAAGCCTCATAGAGGTTTGGCAGTGAAGCAGCCAATTGTAGCTCCATTTAATTTAATATATATAATTGTGGGGAGATTTAATTAGGGTGACTAGAAATATTCTTAAAAGTTTTTCTGCTGAGCAAACTGTATGCCTGAGGAATGAAGATGTTCGAAGATCAGCCTCACAAGAAGCAAATTGAGGATTCCTCTTTATTTGCTTTAATTAAATCTTATTAGGATTCTCCAGTTGTCAGTGATCTACTAGTAGTTTCGAACATCACTCAATTCAAAAAGCTTAAGCAAGAACTTATTCATTCTAGGTTACTTACAGTGATTTAAAGACTGAAGGTCGGGCTTTCCTAAAATGTGATAAGTAGGCGTCAGGATAACATTGAGTTTCACTCAACCCTACCTCCTAAATGTATATCTCATCAAAATGGATTGCAATCCTAACCTCTCCCCACCGTCTTATAAGCACCATCCGCAATATTCAGTTTCAGATCGTAGGCATCGCGACTACATTATAATGCCAGCTGAGCCCAAGATGACAGTGAGTCAAAGGTAAGTTGCGAAAGTCACTAAGCCGGGCCTCTCTCCAACCGCATTTACAGCAGGATATTCGAATAACTAAACATGGACTTGCGACTGCAATCGTCGATATCACTTATTTTCGTTGTTACCTATATCGTTGTGGAAAAGAATCAATTATTGGTCCCTAGTAGTTCTTAATCATAAAACACGGTTAGACTTAAAATAAGCAGTTCTAAGTGATATTACTGAATCGCTGGTAAGTCGATGTCAGACCTTTGTGCGAGTAAATGCACCAGTTAAACTAAGTATATGATATAGGAGAAATCTAACGAATCAAAAAGATTAAAGCAAAACATCGGTTTATTAAAAACCAGTTTCGATCGTGAAATTATTGAATTTACAAATATATGATGGTTTAGAAGTTGTTTGACCTTATTTCGCAACTTGGTCATATTTGGAGGAAGACATAGAGGAACGCATCTTGTCCGGAGTACATATTATGCATGATAATTTGCAGAGCCCTACTCTGGAAATTATCATGTATACTATGTACTCCGAACAAGGTGCGTTCCTCTATGTCTTCCTGCAAATATAACCAAGTTGCGAAACAAGGTCAAAAAACTTCTAAGGAAGAAAAGGTTAACGTAAATTAGGAGATGAATGATTCGAAAAACGTAGGCCAATCTGTATCACCGATCTAAAATTAAGAAATTTTAGGAAGATCTTATAACGTGATCGTCAAAGGTAACCAAAATAATTATTTCAAGCAACCTGTGAAAAAATTTAATCATAGATATTAATTCGAATTATAATGACATGGTCTACAGATTTTATGGAAAATAAAAGGATCTTTCCATATCCAAGTGGCTCTTTAAAGCTATAAACCATTAAAAATGTCAAGTAAACTAAATATTAGCATTATTGTTGGGACTTTCATTTCATATAAAAGTGTATGAAGAAGAGATTTGAAGGTCAATCTCACCAGAAGAAAACGATTGAAGCCCATTGTACTGCTGCCGCTTAGCTTTTATACGACTTCAAAATTGACGCAGTCCATGAGACATCATCCCTCTTTTTGGGTAGAAACGGACTTAGCTTTCGCCCATCTTATGATAGACATCATAAGATATGAAACTAATTCTTGTAAAATTCTAGAGTTAACACTAAGGGGAGAATACTATATGGCCTTATCTTACCTCTCATATAGTCTTATTTAAGCAAAATATAATAAAAAAATATAGATCGATATAGAATCGTTTTGTTAATTATCTTTACTCTGGTCAACATCTCTCTCTTTCAATCTATCAATCGAGCATAAGTAGTTCATACTCAATTTTCTACCACCATTCTTCACATTCAACGTATTTCCTAATCTATTGATTTAAATAGCTTCTCTTATTTTTCTTTTAAACGTAGACATACCATAATCAGCAAACCTACTCGTTTTAGACCATTCTATCTCATGTCCAATTTGTACCATGAGTTCGGCTAATTCTGACCGTTGGACCCAGCTTCCCTTATAGGCCTTTTTGTATTCCCTTAATCTTTGTCGAATAGGTCGCCATATTTCACCAATATAAGCTCGACCACATGAACGAACAATCTCGTAACAGCCGGAACTCAATAATGGGTCACATTTCTTTCTTAAAGGTGGCATAGCAGAAGAAAGTGTTTTCCATCCACTAGCCTCAAACTCATAATAATCATTCGTAGTATAAAACTGATATTAACAATGTAACAAATGAAATCACACAGGTAAAACATGCATCTTCAGCATATGAATTGTAACCATGTGAACTAGCAAATTTTCAATTCGCAAATTAACAAAATCTGCTAATATTTGTATTTAAATTAGAGGTAGGATAAAAGTTAAGACCAGAAACAATTTCCATGACTAGGCGAATGTCGCTCTCAATCAGAGAAAAGTCGAGTGTGTCAAAGGAGCACGAGCAAAAGATGATAATTACCGATGATGCTAATGTCAATTGCTTAACTGCATAGTCCAGAATAAATAAGAAGTAATGGCTTAGATAGGAATTTAGTCGGATCCAATAAAGGCTAAACAAAATAATAAGAATCTCAATGTAGGAAAAACGATTTTTATTTCTATGATTTGTTGCTATACGTGTATTTATGTAATCCTTTAAATCCCAATTAATCAAATGGAGTAGAAAAATTAAAACAATGATTGTCAAAAACAAGAGAGAATTCACAGCCATGTTTTACACGATATGGCAATTCGTTTGACCGGACTTACGAGATTAAGTCTCTGCTCCATCGTAAGCCAATAAAATCTTATTCTTTGTCCATTCAAGATTTGTGGCCAACAGATAAATCTGGTTGGAAAAGGCGAATAAACTCAGTTGATTCTTCTGAAGAAACGCCGATACCAGGCATCTCTGTCTCAGTTATAAGACTCAAATTTTCTTGAATACAAAAAATTACGAGATGAAAATTAAGGCTATAAACGTATAATTAATGCAATCAATATGTTTATAGATGAATGCCGGATAATCAGTAGCTTAATAAAGGCAGCTAGTTAAATTATTGAGGTAAATACATAACTATATATATATATATATATATATAAAGTGATGAGCTGTAAAAGAATAAGAGCAATAGGAACCGGCATCACAAATAACTACTTTGCATATGCATAAATAAGGTTAAGTGAGGTTGCTAAAACTATATTTTGGACTAAGAAATAGAACAAAGGAATATGTCAATGTGATATTTAATAATGTGTATTTAGCATAAGCTGGACAGATATTGAGAATATGAATAATCTTGTAAAAAGCGTGTAGAATATGTGAAATATATTGCTGTAAAACTCCTGTTAAAAACAAGTGTATGCAATATATTACGAAGAAAAGTACAAATTCTGATAACAAATTTATATATTTCCAAGGAGTAGGTTCTCAACTATGTAAATAATTTTAGTGTTCTGTGCCACCTCCTAAGCCCACAATAAATTCGTGGTTCCAATTTCGTTAAGAGAGACAAGATACTGAGGTGAAGTCAAAATCGGATATCTCCCTCAGAAGTAGCAAGCATTCTCTTACCACACTCCCCATAACATTGGCCATAGATAAATTTAAGTTGATAAATGATATTAGGCTTGGAATAAACAAGTAGACAATATAGAAATGATGGTTGTATAAATAAAATATTATTTTTGACTTAATAAAACCAATCAAGCTAAAATCGATCTATACAACTCATTACGTCGTAGGGCAAGGAATAAAAGAGTCTAAATGAATGCCTCACAGAAGGTAAAGCAATGGTTTGCTGCTAATTCCGCATTGGTTAAGTGAGTAAATATGCTAAAGTTGGAAACTTAAACCAAATATGAGGGGAGTTCGGCAATTAGAGCACACCTCAGGCTAGCAGAGCTAATTAAGTCTAAATTGGTGAATAATGTAGACATGTCAACCACGGAGCTGATGAAATCCAGCGTTAGAAAAAACTGATCGTTATTAACATATTTATATGAGTATTAATATTCTATGAGATATGATAGTATGAAATACTCCAATTTCAGAAAAGTATACCTTTTACAATCACATCTTGCCAGAAGGCTGTGAGCAGGCTACGTTTATCCAAGGCTGTAGTTGGATCGGCACTAGCCTGCACGACATATGGTTGAGACTCAATTTTTCGGCGGAAATCGTGCAGAAACTGATTGTAGGCCTTGGCCACAACAAGCTGTCTCGAACCTGAGGATGATTCACATATCGAAGGAGTAATAAAGGCGGAAGACAGGCAAGCAGCCTGCCGATAGACACGAATACAAGCCCTTGTCTTAGACCGAGATATCCAGGCTGTGTATGGATCAGTAACGAACTTGAAAATACGATAATTCATCTGTTCGCAGGCTGAAACATATAGGTTTTATAAGAGTAAAATCAGTTAACAAAATTGTTTTTACTTGGTCCGTGAATTAAATAAGATAAAAGTTGTTTGATCCTGTTTTCGCACCTTAGTAATATTGGTAGGAAGAGTTAGAGGAACTCACCTAGACCGGAGTCCATTGTATGCATGATAATTTCAAAGGCGGACCGTGGACGTGGCACATTTCCAGACGCTTCGACGGCATCGTAGTCAGCATCGTAAGAGAGTCTAGCCACTCTTAGCATCACACTAAAACTCGTCAGAGAAACAATTGAAGCCGACCCTTCGACCAAATGTGTGCTAAACAGTTGTGGTATCTCTCCTTCCGTCGTAAGCTATTCACCTCTCTTATATACTCGTATCACGCCTTCACTATCACAATTTTTCCCTTGCCCATTTTAATGTAGCGTCGTGTGTCCTTTTGAGCCACTTACATGAGAACACTCCACGCTGGCATTCTCATTCCCCTTCACTGTTGAGTTGGGAATGTTGATCATAGTCTGCCATATTGTTACGCAGTCGTCCTTACCTAGCTCTTATCAGTCTCACTCTTGCCCCGTAGGATACGTCTGCTATCTCCCTTGTTCAAGTATTTCACTCGACCCCTGCCACCACATCTGTGCTGCTCGAAGCGTTATTTCCCACACTCTGCTTTTGCTAGGCTAACTTCCGGGTAACACACTGAATAATTTTGAAGATTATGGACCTAACAGTGAGGATGATTATGGCCCTCTACCAAAACGCAAAAAAATAGGCAAGACTTTTGAGAAGAAGTAATAAATTCCTTACTTAAATAAGTATTGCAAAGGATCTATGAAAAATTTCTTAACTTAGCGATTCTTGGCTTGATGTTAGTTTACCTCGTTGCATATAATTGGTGTCACATCATTCTTCCAATTAAGCTGCTTTTAAAAGAAACATCAAAGAAAGTACCTCATATATATGTTCTAGTGGTAGTCTCGAAAGACTTAATTACAAACAAAAATTATGTAATGTAGTCAATTTCTATAGCAAATACATTTATCGTTAATCTCATCAAAGAAAGTGATATAGGAAATGCCAACCCACCGTGAAATTTACATCTGACTTCATGGTACTCGTGGCATTGTGGCGTAGTGGTTAACGTGTCGAGATTATACGCTGTACTAACACAATTCTAGTCCCATTAGGGATGCTTAGAAGACCTAGGCGAGATCAAAATTGTGAAATTCAATGGAGACATAAGGACTATTTAAATCATTGTAGAAAACTTTAATTATCAGTCCTTTAGAAACTAAACTAAATAGGGAAAATACATCTCTTGAAAACCTACTTATAAACGAAAAATAATAATGTATAAAGCTCAATCCATTTACAGAAAATAATAAACAGCACAAATTATTCCTAGGTTAATTATCTTAGTGACACCCATAAGGGGTTTAAGTATATCAGTAATTAAGCATACTTAATGCCAGAAATCAATGCGGATAAAATTATGTCGTTGATAAGCTCATCGGGATATAGCATACGTGTTTGAAACCCTTTAAAATATAACCAAAAGATACAAAATAAACTAGACTAATCGCAAGTTAAAGATTTAGATCTGCAATCAAAAAACGTATCGCGATACCTGAATCGAGCGTTCGTAAAGGAATGCAGACCAAAATTAAAGTTAATCAACCAATTTTTAATCGTCTCGGATTAGTTGTGGCTTAAAGGAAAAAGATTGAACTTATCGTAGAAGTGATCCTGATAATATTTAGGGTTCAGAGACGCGATTAAAACTAAAGTCATTGGAGTGCCATGACAAAAGGATATGAATTACTTCTGATGGAACTATAATGCAAACTAAATAGACTACTGCATATGTTATAACCCAATATAACCAAACAAATAGACCTTGATCAGGGATGAGGAAGACTATAAAAGGAACCCTGCACCAGGAATATATATATATATAAGTCAAATTGATAACAAGGTCTAAACCAGAGATTGCACTGCACTTACCCTCAGTCTCTTTTCGCTGCTCTAAAAGTTGACGAAAATCTCCTACCGGATTCACATTGCCAACTGAGAGTACAAGAAGTTCGCTGGGGCATACAAGGCCTTCTGCCTCTGGGCTGATATGGATGTTGGGCTTGTTACTGCCAAGTAAAGTCTTGCATTGGCTGGAAGGTGCATTGAAAAAATCGGGAACGGTCGTTTGACGCTGTTTCTTGCACGGCTCAGCATGCTCATTCTCCAGACCAGCCATCATAAGCAAGATCGAAACAGCAAGTTATGGAGAAATGAAACGGGATAAATTGGAGATAAGGCAGGGGCGATATGTGAAACAAAAATTGCTATCATTAGTCTCATGGGCTGAAAAATTAGAATATTTAGCAAGTAGCAAAATGAATAAACCTAGATTTATCCGTCAATAGGGTTTTAATAGAAATATATTGGACGAAATTATAAGTAGGTGCAAGAGTAAAGCCATAAAAAGAAATAAAGTTAGAGTTAGGAAAATTAATGAAGCAAAAAATGCTCACAAGTGGTCCAGTTCATTAATCCATAAAACGAAACGATAACTGATTCATGCTTGTCTAAAATATCGTTAATAAAATGAAGCTACTACCAGTCCTTCATCACCTTAAACGAAGTAGGGTGAATACATCTCATAAAGCTACAGAGGCCTGCTTGTACTAATAGGAGCAAATAAGTTATTCTTGCGCAGATGAGATTCTGGGGATAAAGTTGACAATGCTTAAGCCCAGATCATAAAATAGTCAACATTTTCTTAAACGAAAAACATTTTTTTCGAAAAGTTATTATACTTTATTCATACAGAAAGCACTAAATTGCACATCAATGTGAAGGATTCTGATAATGCCTATTGCTGATATAACTTAATGCATCCATGATTACGTAACATAAATTTGTGTAAACTTTCCTCTGAAGTAGGCAAGTATGCTATTTTATCTGATAATCTATATGAAAGCAAAAAGGTAGGGAAGCCTTCAACTTCACAAAATAGAATATTTTATAGACATTAAATGGTGTATACAAACGTAAGCACCTACTTATTGGCAAGAATTTGTCAGAATCACTATAAACTGTTAATAAGATCATAAGTTCTACGAGTGAAAGCAAATAATGGATAATTTGGTGACGCGGGGATTTAATAATTGATCTAACCACTTGACACTGATAAGTTGTAGCTCTGTGCTAACGATAGCGCCTCTCACTGACGATGCCGGCTAAACGTTTAGGAATATACCTAACCAAAGGTCAGAAGAAGGAAATAACGAATACTATGGCAGAGGGCACAGAGCAAGGCATGTTCCACAAGATCTCCCTGAGGCTCTGACCAATGTGAGAAAATAAGGTCGAACCAGCACTATAAAGCTAAAGGAGACTGCGACCATACCATAATGAATAGTAAGGTATATTCCATAAGGGTCATAAGATTCTATTTTTACATGTACCCCAAATGTGGAGTTTTACTCAGAAGTTGGAGAAATTTTAAATAAATTTAGGTCTAATTAGTACTAAAATGAGTCGGACCCGGAATATGTGCTTTGATAGATATTGCAAACACTAGACACCCCTCAGCACCACTAAGCTACAAGAAGAGCATAAAACTTAAGGGGAGGATGTTCTAAATAGTTAAAAGCTGCTATGCTTATGTGTTATAATATTGAGATGAAGTTTAGTGATTGATACATGAAGTATAGTGTTAAATTATCTCTCATTTCTATTAGAAAAGGCTACCAATTCGAAGTTTTGAATGAATCTTTAGATGTAATTAATATATTTATTTTGACCACTCATTAGCGGCATTTATTTACAAATTTTTATTCTAAAGTAACTAAGGTTGTTTACCTATGAGGGGAAAAAACGTATTTGCAATAATTTAAAGTTATAGTGACAATAATCACAATTTCCTTACAATTGAACTGGTCCTGATGGCAAATGGATCTAAAGTAAATTAAGGCGTGATTAAAAATCTCCAACCCCGGAACCGGATATCAATCGTTAAGAGGTGCGTATTGTAAAGAAAATGACAAACGCTTAATGCATATGGAAGGTATGAAGACCAAGATGGTCGCTTTTGTATGGTCGCAGTCTCCTTTTGTTGTATAGAGGTTGTTCGACCTTGTTTTCGCAACTTGGCCATATTGGTAGGAAGACTTAGAGGAAATCACCTAGTCCGGAGTGATTTGTATGCATTATTGTTTCAAAAGACGAATCGTAGACATGGTAGATTCCCAGACGTTTCGCCTGTATCGTCAGTAAGTTTTGCCATTCCTAGTACCATACAACATCCCGTCAAAGAGAGAAGTGAAGCCGATCCTTTTACCAAACAGCCCCTTCTGCCCTATGCTATTCACATTTCCTATATCCTCCTACACGCCTTCACTGTTAAAATTTTTACCGTGCTTATTTCGATGTAGTGTGGTGTGCTCCTTTGAGTGGTATTCATGAAAACCCTTCATACTCCACGCTGTCGAACTCACCCCCTTCACCCTTCTGCTTGGAATGTTGATCAGTATCTGCCATATTGTTACGCAGTCCTTATTCCCTAGGTCTTATCACAGTATCTCACTTGTCTCGTAAGATCCGTCTGCTCTCTCCCTGGTTCACGTATTTCACTGGACCCCTGCTACCCCATCTGTACTGCTTGCTTGAATTAGGTTCAATGTTTAACCACAACGTTTGTGGGTTGGCACACAAGATACTAGGACATATGAAGTCATAGACTTTGTATTACGGATAAAAAATGGATAGAGGCGGCGGAGACTGGAGCTAGTTGGCTGGCAGTAGGCCATCGAGTGAAATCTAATGAACAGAAGACGTGAAGAAGGCAGGATCAGCGAAAACTTTGCTTATTGTCTTCACAAACTCTGAGAAAACCAGGCAACAGTAAGATAAACAGAAGAAGACGAATGGATCAAGGTAATATCCTTAATTTGAGGAAACTAGATCGCAGGGGGATGAGAAAGGAAAAATCAGAAGCCAAAAGGACACGTCTTCAGTGAGCCTAATCAAAACAAGTAGAACCACGATATTTGTGGGTTGGCACACAAGAG